CACCTAGCGGCTCCTGTTGCAAACGTGCATAGAGCAAATCTAAACTGTTAAAATGATGCATTTGCCAAAAAGAAAAGGACTTTTGCATGTTTTGCATTTCATCACTTGACTTGTCCGCTCCTTCTCAGTTTTCCTGGGAAAGCAGACTTCCTCTGACCAGTAAAAAAAAAAAAAAAAAATTAAGCTGGGTTTGTTTGGAGGCTTTTTGGAGAGGTGGGGGTGGTGGTGCCGTTCAATGTAATAGGTCCTGGCCAGATTTTTAATGCTGCATGTCCAAGCATCCAATGTTTCCAGTCACTGTGGAGGCTTCATAACAGGACTAAGTCTTTTGCTCCCTATATTTTCCCTATAGTGAAAATAAAACAAAGATCCTGAGCTCAAGACAAAGGTCCCTGAGGCACCCCCAGCCCCTTGGACACCTTTGGAAAATTGCAGCCAGCAGGAAAATGGGATGACTTTGCAGGTGGCAGGTGGGTTTATATGATGATGCTACCTAACGCTGAGCAAACGCTCCCTCGGGTACCAAAAGCAGCAGAACCACGTGAGCGTGGTGCTTTGTCACCATCCCCATCCAAAGATGCTGTTGCAGCTGGTGTTGGCATACCCGACCTAGCAGGGGCTCTGAGAGCAGCACAGCCGTGACACCGTGGCACTGAGCTCGGTCCTTACCCGCGGCCCTGGCAGGTTCTGCATTGCTACGCAGCTAGTGGCTACGCTCTTCTCCGGACCTGAGCTGGGTCGTTGAAAGCCAGCTTGGGTGTCTCTGCACCAAGGGGTGTCACGACACCAGTGTAGACATTCCCTTATCAGGGCTTGTCCCCCTCACTCCCTTTGACTCTTCGGGAAATTCCTCTCGGGATGCGTGCCCAGATTCAACAGAGAGAATTGGGGGAAAGGAGGGGAATGGGTTAGGTTGTTTTCCCCCACTGTTTTTTTGCAGCGTTCTTCAGACGCTGAACTTTAGAGGCTGAAATGCCTTCAGATACAAACGCAAACTTTCGGCCACAAAAATGCAGCTTCGGTTGCGTGTGGTTCCTTTAATGCTCACACGGTTCTAGTTTTACACGCCGATCCCTTTGATAGCCAGCGTTTTCATAGACAGACAACATATGGGACGGATCAGACCAAATCAGATGATAGATATTATTTAAATTGGGTGGACCGGCCCGTTTGAAACGGGGCTGGCAAACCCTCGCTCCAGAGGGCTCATCCAACAGGCCTGAGAGGTTGGGGCAGGGAGGATGAGCTTGTGGGATGCAGGAGACCTGAGTTGGGGCCTGCTACAGGCTTCCAGCCTGTCCTCTGGACCCGGCATTCAATTGCTCTGTGCATGGCTTTCCCATCTGTGAAATGGGAATGAAGGGCGGCTTCCCTGCCAGATAGGACTAGAGAGAGGCCTCCCTGCCAGCATGCCCTTGCTTTGCTGCAAAAAAGGCTAACAGCATCCTGGGCTTCATGACTAGCATTGCCGGCAGATTAAGGGAAGTGATGATTTTTCCCCTCTTTTCAGCACTGGGGAGGCCACATCTGGAGTCCTGTGTCCAGCTGTGGGCCCCCACTGCAGAAAGGATGTGGATGCATTGGAGAGAGTCCAGTGGAGGGCAATGAAAATGGATGTGGGGCTGGAGGACAGGACTGGTGAGGAGCAGCTGAGGGAAATGGGCTGATGGAGTCTGCAGAAGAGAAGACCGAGGAGGATTGAATAGCAGCCTTCAGCTCCCTGCAGGGGGGCTGCAAAGAGGATGGAGCTGGGCTGGTCTCAGTGGGGGCAGATGGCAGGACAAGGAGCAATGGGCTCAAGCTGCAGCAAGGGAAGTTGAGGTTGGATGTTAGGAAAAACTTTCTCATGAGGAGGGTGGTGAAGCACTGGGACAGGCTCCCCAAAGAGGTGGTGCAGTCTCCATCCTTGGAGGTGTTGAAGCCCCGGGTAGACAAAGCCTCGGCTGGGATGATGCAGTTGTGGCTGGTCCTGCTTGGAGCAGGGGGTTGCACTAGATGTGACCCCCTGAGATCTCTTCCAACCCTCATTTTCTATGAGTCTATGGGGACCTCCCATTAATATCCATTTATATCCATTAATATTTGCGATGTGCTTCCTAATACTGGTGTATGCCACAGTTGTGCCTAGAGGCCCCCAATTGCAGGCACCGAGTGAACGAGTCCCAGCTCAAAAAAGCTGACGAAGGTGGAGCTCAGCGCACGAGGTTCCTCGCTTCCAGCCCAGCGCCTTTCCAAACTGCTTTTTTCTTCTCGATGCCACCATGGCCTGTGGCCCTTGATCACCTGCGTGTACGAGCTAAATGCATCTCTTCTGATGCAGACAAGGGTCTTCGGGTGAATCTGGTCTCTTTTATTAGACCAACTCTCTTCTGATGCTGCTCTTTTTGCAGGAGCGATCTGATCTGCTCATTTTGCTTCCCGTGGAAAGGGGGGTCAGCAAAGGGCAGCTGAGGTTGAAAGCAGCTGGGAACACAGCACGGGGGCCCCGTTGCCGGCTCAACCCTGGCTGGCTCGTACCAGACAATTAAGGCTTTCCGAAAAAGATGGATATGTTTGCAGAATCCAAAAAGCAATCAAGCAGCACAGCTTTTAAATCTATAACTATCTCAGAAAAGGAGCCTGCGGGCGAGCCGGGCCCGTGCAAGCGTCGATGCTCGGTAATGCTCTAATTATGAACAGGAAATTTTGTGCTCCTGTGAAGCAAACACGGTGGGAGTAACACTTCAGCCCCCAGTCAGCTTTTACTGGCCTACAGGAAAAAAAAAGGGAAAAAAAACCCAATCCCTGACTATAATTAAAGGAGCAGCTGCGGGGCAGTGATGGAATCCAGGTTTCTGTGTGACAGCGAGTGTGAACGGGTCTGGAGTGCAGGGCACGAGTTGTGAACGCCTTCAGGTGTGAATAGCCATTCTCCCGGAGCTGTGCATGGAGGTGCACGGTGCCAGGGTGAAGTGTCGCAGGGTCTGGTACCCGCTGCCTGGTTAGTGATGGGAGGCATGGGGCTGCTTGGCATGCTCCTGCTCTGCAGAAGGCCTTTTGCCCTGTTCAAAGAGCTGCTGTGTTTGGTTCCCAGTCTGCTGGGTGAATGAGCCACCCGGGCAGTAAATGCTTTGAAAGTGTTTAAATGATACATGCCTATAAGAGCCCCATCCTGCTCTTCGGTGGGTAGAGGTCGAGGGGACAATAGTCCTCTTCCCGTGTCCATCCAAGCCGTCTCCCATTGTGGGTTGTGTCCAGGGCTGAACAAGTTGCCATGCTCAACGGGAGGGAGCAAACGGGTGTCGTGAACCAATGGAAGAAGTGGAGAAGTGGAAACTGAGACAACGTGCAGAATCGGGGCCTGATTCCCTAGTCCCCAAGGCCACTTTGTATGCTGCAAGCAGGGCCAAGCAGCCTCAACGGGCCTGAGATGGGCAATGAAAAATTCCCGTCCTGTGCCAGGGAGTGGGTAACTCCTGGGTACAGTCTGCATCGCCCAGGCCATTCCCTGCCCAAGGAAGGAAGCAGCGTGATGTGCCAGAGGATGGCAGTGAAGGGTAATGGGGAAGCTCCATTACACCCCATCACCCCTTGGTCAGGAAAGACCTTATGTCAGATCTTCATCTCTAGGGTGGTTCCCTGGACCAGGGGACTGCAACCAAGTCCTCGCTGGCCCCTCTCCACCCAGATGAGGCAGAGAAGCAACACTTTGACTTGCTGTCGGTCTCTTAAAATGAGAAAACTAACCCTGAGCTCCGTCGTTCCTGCTGGCTTTTAATGCCCGCGCGGTAGTGCGTTGCATCATTAACAGCGTTGCTGTACGGCTCGCCTCTGCGGTGTCTGAGCTGTGGTCAAGACTTCAATTAAGTCAGGTATCCAGGTTATAGCCATATTGGTCTAGAGGCAGAAAGAATCAAAACTCATGGCAGAGGTGATATCTTTTATTAAACCAACTAGAGATTTGCAGGGGAAAAAATTTTTTTTGCAGAGAATTTTTTTGCAAATAACTAGCTGGTCTAAGAGACTTCAATCAAGACATTCAAGTTTGGGTCACAGCAGAGCTGATGTTTTCAATTCAGCTGCATTTGCCACCTCTCCGGTCTTTTGCTGCAAACTCCCCATCGTGTCTGACTCCCAAAAATATAGAGCGGCCTGCCTAATTAGTTTAGCAGCAGAAACTGGTTTTCTAGCAGCCCAAGAAGGCAGCTGTGCAGTGGCAGCGTCCTGCTTAGTAGCAGGGTTTGTATTTTAGTAGTGAAGCAGAGCAGGTTTAAATGAGCATTGACATGACCGTGACGTTTTTATGTGGCCGGTTATTTGATTAACTTGCCCGGCCAGTGTCGCGATGCACTGCAAGCAGGGCCCCCTACGCCACCGACGGCGGTGTTATCCTCTCTTGTCAGCATGGCCTACATCAAGGGGCAGGAAGAAGGGGGTGAGCGTAAACCAAAACGCGGGTGCAAATGCCCCGTGCAGCCTCCGAGTGCGTTTCATGAGACTGACGAACGCTGCTTTCTGCACTGTTTCTTTTCTTTTTTTTTAATCTCCTTCTCCGGGCTGCCAGAAACCAGATGCGCTCTTAGCCTCTTTAATAAGCTACCAAGCAAAGGAGCAGTCACGTGGGGTTGGGTGGCTGGGAGTAGGACGCGTCCCCTGGGGATTGTGCGCGAGACGGGGGGACCAAGGATGGGTGAAGAGGAGGGACCTGAGCCATAGCAAATAGGAAGAAAGCTGGGAGCCATGCAAGGGGGAAGAGGGAATGGGACAGTGGGCGCCCTTGAAGCAACCTCTGTATTAAACCGCGGTCCACATGGATTGCAAATGCTAGCCAGCGCCCTTCTCCTCTGCGTCATCGCTGCTCGAGTTGGCAGCAGACAAAAGCCAGCGCTTCCCAATGCTTCCCAATGGCTCTTGAAGCAGGAGACAAGCAGCCAGGTTGCAAACACCACTGCTAAGATCGGGAAGAATGTTTTACCTTGAACTTGATTGTAACGGCGCTATGTTTTCTTTCTTCCCCAAAGGTGGGTCAGAGGCGAGCACTTCAAATACAAATTTAGCCAGCCAGGAGGCAAGCACGCCGGCGAAGGGAAGTGGTGGATTCGGAAGAGGATTGGGCCGTACTTTCCACCAGTCAATCTCCAGGGTCTGAAGAGGTTTTATGAAGACAGGAACTGGCCGTACCCAGCGCAGAATTGATGAGAGGAGAGTCGTAACCACTGCTAAAGGACAAAAGCCATTCGTTTCCATTGAGCTTGTGTTTCTCACTTCTTCCTGAATTTTTATATATCCATTTGATGGTTCCTTGCCAGGCTGTTTCTCAACTGTCATGTCCTGCCTGGCTTGGCCTCTCTTTGTCACTCTGTCCATCATTCTTTCCATCTATCTTCCTTCCTGTTCTGTCTTTCTGATCTCTTAGGTACGTTGCTTGCTCGAGAGGGGGCCCAAATTTTGCCAAATTCTCGGTTGCAGCAGTGAGCTGAGACAAAACCGTTGGCAGCCGGCACGTCGTGCCATTACATTAGCTCTGAGATCTGGGTTTACTCAGATTCAGGTAGGTATAATGATAACAGGTTTAAATTTTATGACGTGTGATCCAGGAAAAAACAAACGTGGCTCCTTTCTCACCTCTATCTACCTTGCAAACTGTCCGGCCCCAATTCTTTTATGTTAAGTGATTTAAATCGACCTAACCGAGCTCAGACTTTATCTTCAGGGTGATATATGGTATGTTAGGAGATGCGCTGTCCTTCCAGTCTGGAGGTGGTTGGTGTTTGGTGTCCTGCAGGCGAGGTTTGCAGAGGTTTTGCTGCGTGCCAGTCTCGTTCCGAGCCCTCCGAATTCATAGTGAACGCGGCCAACTCACCCCAACTTAATTTGGAGCATGCTGTGGATTCGTGTTTGGCTTGGGTATCCCTTCAGGCACAGGTTAAGAAAGGTGGAAGCTTCTAAATCCGAAGACGGCTTAAGGGTTTTCTTTCAAAAGGGGCTTATGCTTGCTCGCAGCTTCCCCGCAGAGGGCTCTAGACATTTTGCAGCACTTCAAGGAGCGTGCTAATATTTCCTTCGGCACTCCCCGTTGTTGTGCTGGGGTTGTTTTTTCTCCCCCTCTAAGCAAATGTCTAGCCCCCTGGCGAACAAGCTTATTAACCCCGGGAAGGTATCAAGCAAGCAGACTGAGAGTAACACCAAACAGACTTGCCAAGGGACTCCACCCACGCAGCAGATATCCTCCTGCATCTCTCGTCTCCAGACTGTTCCCAGGCACAGATGGGTTGTCTTCTCCCTGCCGTCACAAGCACCTGCATCCTCTGTTTCTTTTGCATGATCTCCTCTGTCATCAAAGCCTGTTGCTCTGTTCTTCATCTCCTAGCTGGTCTGAGCCAAGATCCTCTCTAATTCAGCCTGACGTTAGGGGCTGGAGGTGTGAATCACTGGGGGAGGCTCGGTGTTATGGAGGCGGTCGGAGCGTGGGGATGTCACGGTCCCTTCTGGCTTGGAAAGCACTGCGAAGGGCAGGTGTATTGCTCACCTTGCAATGTGACACTGATGCATGTTCTCTCTGTATATTCTCAAGTCTCTAAAAGCAAGCCAACTTCCAGTGACTTGGCAGGGACACATGGGGGGAGAGGAGAAAACAGCCTCTCCCCACACAGGGAACCACATGCAAAAAGGGTTGCATTGGTACTAAGACATGCCAGCCTCTACTGCACCTCTGCCAGCCACAGGTAGCAGTCAGAGGTCAATGTTTCTACTTCTCTGCTAAGCATCGTTGCTCCGAAACACATCACGATGTCCACAGATTGCAGTAGTGAGACACCGCGCTCCTATTCAAGGCTCGCCCTGGGCCGTAGCGGGGTGGAATGACTTTACGGTGGCAGGATGGTTGCTGCCAGCTGTGGTTGCATGGTGGGTATCATCCCTGTTAAGTGCTCGGACGTGGTGACATTAAACATTCACGAGTAAACTTTATCACACTGATTTCTGCTTGGTCTTTGATGGGGAGAGGCAACCTCTGCAAGCACTTCTGTTTCCAGGTGTTGTTACACTTCATTAAGACTTCACATTAGCCCCTGCCATGACCTACAGGCTGCTCGTGGAGGCCTATTTTTCACCTTATTGCTTCCCTTTGAAGACCTCACATCATGGAGACAATCCTGCAGGTTGGCACTAAAACACCTCACTTCCTGCGTCATTTTTTCCAGCCTAGACACCAGAGATCGCCGAGGCAGGGCACCGTGGAGGCATGGGCACGCTGCCCTTGTGGCCCAGGTGCTTACTTGGGTGTGCAGCTTCAATGACAGCAGCAATCCCATAGCTTCCCACTCCTGATTTGCACCTTTTGTACACCACACTTCCTGTCCTTACCCTAATTACTCTTGTCTATAATTAGATCCCAGCACAGAAGAAGAGCTCAGTCCTCTGCAGACAGAGATCCCCAGACGGGCTCCGCTTCAGGAGGAGGAAGTGCAATGTGGACAGCCGCGAGGTTAGATCTAGACGAGGAGGAGAGTCTCGCGTGACTCGGGCTGGTCGAGGGCAGCCCTAAATATTGGTGCCGGCACGCCCGGCCTGGCACGGCCAGCCCACAAAGCAATGCCCCGCTCACCACATTGCCTGGTGATTTAGCACTAGCATTTCAGCCTCTCAAAGCTGCTTTCTTCTGAATATATCTGTCCTTATGTCACGCCTCCTTGCCACCCTGTAGAAGATCTGGTCATTGGCTTCTTACTGTAGCTTTAATGACTAGGTCTAATTATGAATCTCCTCTGCTGAGAGTTGCTAATCCCCCATCACAGAGGCGTCGGGGGGCGTCTGGTTTTGTTAAGGCTCGGCGCTGTCTTCAGTCCTCTGCATTCATTTCCTGAAGCAGGAAAGGGGAAAGACTGGGGCTGGGAAACATGTGATACTACGGTGGTGAGGACTGGGAGAAGCCATAAAATAGAGTCGATGAATCCGCATGCCTTTTCCCATGTCGTCTGTGACTCGAACCCCTCCTTCCCTCCCCACCCACGCATTAAAGCCTCGTGCTAGCCAAAATCCCATTTCCATGACAACGTCATCTAGCTGGCTGGTACGGACAGACCAGAGAGGAGGGACGCAGAAAAGGGAGCAGAACTATGAGTGGTATGAAAGTCTTTGGAAAAATGAAAGCCGGTGCTTTCAAGTTGCCGTGTGTAGCGACAAGTAGCTGGTTATTTATGTTCCAGCCAGATGTGCCTTTAAATAGCCAAAAAAAAAAGGCTGATGAAACTGGCTGTTCTCATGGCAAAGCAGCTTGGTCCGGGGAGTCATTTTGAAAGGTGCCTGGAGTTTGCCGAGAAACTTTAAATAACTTGCTGCTCTTGCGGGGTGAGGTCCAGCCATCGTGGGCTCGCTGGCACGAGCAGGGCATGAGAACAAATAAAACCTTGTGTGGATCCACCTTTTGGGGGGTACGTTGCAATATAAACCACACCCACACGCCGTGTCCTCACTTCCTGCGACGTACAATACGGGGTCTGGGCTGGACGAGCCCCTTGTTGCAAGGGCTTCTCAGGAGCGATGCTCGCGTGGGTAACTCCTAGGGATGCAGCGGCTGTTTTTCGAAGGCGGTTGGAGTCAACAAGTCTGCCGCCAGCTTCGCCGAGTTGAAACAGGTCCTGTTTTCATGTGCTCTGGCTTCTCTTTCCTGTTTGTTTAAGCTGGGAGTTTCTCACTGGTTCTCTTTGTGCAGCAGGCATATCCCCGCCGCGGAGATCTGGCATGTAGAGAGGCCAGCCAGGCCGCTCCTCGGGTGCAAGCAAGCCCAGGGCTGAGTTCTCCGAAGTCCGGTGAGTTTGAGATCGCTGAGCACCTGGCAGGATGGGAACCCCTCCATCTTCTGTCTGCAGCTCAACGGCAAGCCACGCATGTCCGCCAACCGCCTGGTTAGCACATCCATGCACGTGCCCTGCCGGCTTGGCTGAGGGCAGGGGAGGGCAAGGAGCAAACCTGGACAGATTGCAATGTCAGATTGCAAAACAGATCCCATTGCATATAAGGTGGAAGGAGCAGGTGGGTCAGGGCGCTGGAGATGCAAGAGTGCCTTCTTCACCCAGGTGGCCAGTCCAAACACAGCCCGCGCCGGCAGCGAGGGAAAGGTGTTGCTGCTGAGGTTGGTTGAACATCACCGTGCGGGTTTTATTAGACACGTGGAGTTTGCTCTACAAGCCCTGACTCCTCGTGAGCAAATAGGCTGCGACCAGCCAAGCCACAGGGAATGTCTCATCGTGGGCGGACTCGAGGAACGTGACAGGTTGCGACACAGAGGGCACATCGACACGATGGCGGTTAAAACCCATGCTAATAGCCTACTGTGCAGTGTTATTAGGCTAATGTGCAGGAAGCGTCCAAAAATTAACGGCATGCTAGTGCTACCGCACAGTAACTCTAATTCCTGCGCATTTAGTTAGGACTTTATTTAGCAAGCACTAAACTAAGGTGCATTAATGAACGTGTAGACGTGCCCAGCGAGGCTCAGAGCTCTAGTCCAGCCTGATCTTTGCAACCCCTCTCCATGGTGGAGAGCTCCCTGTCCGTGTTGAATTATTGTTTCCTATATATACCAATTGTTCAAAGCAGGTTCTTGAATCAGGATGAGGAAATGAATAAGTCCTGCTGTGAATGTTAGATCACTTGTACTGCATGTGTGTGTATGTGAACTCACACCCACGTGCAAGCACAAGAAAGCTGTTGCCCCCATGGCTGGCCTAGATCAGCCCCTGGTACCGCCGCCTCCATTGCACCCTTTTGGTACCGTGCCTTCTCTCCCCTCCGAGTCCCTCTGCAAGATGAGCCCTGCAAGGAGCAGGTTTCTAAGCAGGGGTTAATGGAAACAACCCGTAACCCTTTTAGTAAAAGGTAAAAAATGAAAAAACCCCACACCCAAGCGCCGCATGTCGCAGAAGGAAATAAGCCAGCCGTGCGTCCCCCGAGGTGGCAGCGCGCGCAGCCCCCGGAGGTGCCTGCCCTCCGGCATCCAAGGTGCCGAGGTGACAGATCATAAATAAGGCCAGCGACAGACTTGTCTCGAAGGCCTGTTTGGCGTCACGAATGCACGGTGCCAAACCACCGCGGCATCCCTGACCGCGCTGCCCATCCCCAGTGTTTCTCAGGCCCCTCTTCCTTTTCCTCCTCTCCCTCCCCATCAGCTGCATGCCATTTCCTGGCTGCGAAAGGCACTTCGCCTCTTCTGCAAAACCAATTATCATCTGGCGTGAGCTCGGGGGTCCTGGAGGAAGGAGTCTCGCAGCTGCGAAGTGTTGTGTTTTGTCCTGTGCTCCGCTCCCACTGGCTCGGGCCTGAAGAAATAGGGGGGGAAAGGGAGAGAGAAGCAGACAGACGAGCGCTCGAGCCACGGCAGAGTCTAGCAGGGAAGCGGAAGCGTTCCAGACAAATAGCGATCGTTCTCCAAGCAGCAATACGAGGGCTATAAAAATACGGCTCTTCCTTCCCCTTTCTCCTATAAATTCAATGGGGCCGTCTCTTCCATCCTCCCTGCTCCCCGCCTCATTTTGTTTGGAGACGGTCGGAGGAAGCCATCAAGACCCTCCCACGGCCGCGTGCGGAAAGGACAAGTGCCACGCGGGAAGGGAAGCCGGAGGGAGAGTGGGTCCCAGGCTTGGCCCGCATGGGAGAGGAGGTGTGCGAGCAGATGTGGCCGTGGAGAGCGCAGGACCTGCGACGGTGGGATCTTGAACTGCAAATGGCCTTCTTGCAAACAGGGAGCATTTCCCATCACTATGCCCATTGCTTCCTGCTTTGTTCCCTGAGTTAATGTTCATTTTTCTGAACGAGCATCTCTGCTCAGGGAGCCGGTCAGGAATAGGCGTTGCGCTCTGAACTCGATCCCAGTGAATTCCCCCCTTGCACGCCAGCCCTTTCTCTGCGTGGCGTGAAATAACCGAATGTGACGGAGAGACGTCCGTCTGAACAGCCTCCCGCTCCCCGAGGGAAGATGCGTAGAGAACCGAAGGGTCTTCGGAGCAGCGGTCTCGATCCCGAATAATTGCAATCCTATTGATTGCTTCCTGCCAGCTGCTGTTTTGGATGCACCTCTGGAAGACTTTCCAGGTGTAATTACGTCTGGGGTGCGAGGTGGCTGTTTGCAGTTAGCGGCCATGCGAGGGCACTTGTCGGAGCAGAACAGGGCTCGTCAAGTAGGTCTTGGGTTGTTCTCCCGTTCACACCATTTATCAGCTATGCAAGGAGCAGAAAGGGCCCCGGGACAATAACGAGCCGCAGAGTCGAGCCGAATGGTTTGGAAAACATCGTCACCCAAATGCAATTTGTCCAGATGGCCAAGGGAGTGGGATTAATATGGATCAGAGCATCTGTTTAGTCTGCTGTATGCCACTCGCATGATACAAGGCAGCAGAAGGGGCTGGTGGAGGGATTTCATGGCTGGTTCTGCCACCTGCTTTCATAGCCCTTTGCATGGTCAGGTGGGCCTAGTGATTTGGACTGCTCTTTGCAAGGTTAACCCACCCGTGAGAGAGGAGGAGCGTATGAGGAAAGGCGCATGCAAATGGAGAGTGCACGAGAGGGAGGAGAGTTGCACTGCAGTCTAATACAGTCAAACCCAGCGATGTTAAAATGACATTAACCATCTGACTTAACTCAGAATTTCCCTGCGTCTGGGATTTTAAGGAGTCAACAGTTCTCGGCACAGAGGATGACCTCACTGCATCCATAACTCACGCCTGTCATGAGGCTACTACCGGAGGTTTCGTCGTGCAAGCTCGTCCGCAAGTGGAAGTTAGACGAGCTGTTTGACGTGAGGCCTAACCCTTCTGCTGAAGCCAGGGAGCGTTTTACAATCGAGTTCAGAACCAAAATGAAACTGTTGTGGGAACAGCCTTAAACACGAGGACCCTGCTTTGAGCCTGGGAAGCTGCGGGAATAGATGGGCTGCCAGGAAGAAAGACTCTGCTTGCATACAAGTGCCCTCC